CGAAGGTTAAATTTATATTGATCAGGCACGGTAATATGTTCCACCAATAAAAATACTGAGATCTCTCTAATGTGTCTAAATTCGTTGTCGTGGCAACATTAGAAATTAAAGAGGTGAAACATTCCCTATTTTTAACCTTTTCTTGCTAACTTAAAAACTGTTCTATGAGAGTATTTTCAATCAGAATTCTTTTTGTCTGATCGACAAAACAAACATTGTGTGTGAGGTTGAGTACTACCAATTTTGTTTTGAAAAATGCATCAAAAAGAAAACCTTACACCGTGTAATGAGTAAAAGATCAGCGTCCAACTACTTGCTGAAAATTAAATCTGGAGGCTGCTTACGTAGCGCAGAAACATTGAACTTATAAGCAGGAAAATTGCATATTTTTTTTTCATGGAATGTCTTGCTACTGAATACTTCGCATTCTAAATTATCAAATGACGGTATCTAATGACGTCAAGCTGCAAAGAGTTCCTTAGAGAAAAAGATTGCTTCGAACCATTTTCAAGCTTAAGCCTCAGGCTAAATATATTGCATGCAACCAATTATGGGCTGGAGATTGAAACGAATCAAAAACTCAAGCTTGCGTGTTTTTAAGCTTTTCTTCAGTACCCGTAAAATGTGACACATGGTGGCCTCTTTCAAGTCAACATTGGACCTGATCAAACGCCAGCGTTTCTCTTGTATTTAAGAATTGGCTTCAATCAATTTTAAAGACAATCGGTATCACAATTCAATTTTGGGTAAATGGAGGCCTTAGAAAGCGACCATGCATTCAGCTGAACTTCTTGTAGGCTCTTTACGGTACTCACGGTATCCACTCTTTGAGCAGGAGAAAGAAGCGTGCGCCGAATGCACAATAAACTGCAGACAAAGTGAAAAAGCGATCTCGTACCTTTCGTTAACTTCAGAATGGAGAGTTCTGTCAAAGCGTGGTCGTTCTGTTTGCGAATTAAACTTGAAATGAAATGCGCAGAAAGCTACTACGAAATCAGTGTAATATGAATCCGCTGAACCTGGCACGCAAGCTAATCTGATCTGATACATAGAAAACTTGATCTCTATCACCAGGTCACTAGTCTCCTCCGCAGCCGTTTTTTGGGATGTCACGCAACGCTCCCCTCAAAGAAACGGCTGCTCACATCCGAACCACATTCTTTTCCTTTTGTGTTTGTGGTTTGATTGCGCTCCGTTGAACAGACCAATCACATAATAGCAAAGTGTGAATGACGTAAGCTTTCGCGCGGAAAAGTCTGCGGTGCGAACACGCGAGGGATTTCTGGCTTTTGTTTCACGCCGTACGTCGCCAAAAATAGGCGGTGTTCGCAGGTTACGATCATGACGGACGANTATCGATTTCAGCCAATCAAATTCGTGAATTCGGTAGTTCCCAGTCCTTGTGAGACAGCCATATAATAATAGGGGTTATTGACTGTACAAGTAACAATGGAAGGGGGGGAGGAGGCAGAGCGTTTTTGGAACGGAGCTGGAGGTCAGTTTCTGTTCAGAATTTATTTAATTTTCCGTTTAGGTGAAATGTAGAGCTAGAAAATTCCCTTTGCTCTGATCGACTGGGGTACCTTGGCTGGTTAATCCATATGGACTTTTCCCGCCATTGCAAGATGCGTGGTAGTCTCCTCCGCAGCCGTTTTTTGGGATGTCACGCAACGCTCCCCCCAAAGAAACGGCTGCTCACATCCGAACCACATTCTTTTCCTTTTGTGTTTGTGGTTTGTTTGCGCTCCGTTGAACAGACCAATCACATAATAGCAAAGTGTGAATGACGTAAGCTTTCGCGCGGAAGGTCTACGGTGCGAACACGCGAGGAATTTCTGGCTTTTGTTTCACGCCGCACGTCGCCAAAAATAGGCGGTGTTCGCAGGTTACGATCATGACGGACGAAAAAAATTGTAAATGAAAGTCNGACTTTCGCAACGTATTCGAGGAAGAAAATGAACTTTCTTTCGGAGCACATGTCAAACGTCTTGCCGCCATTATGCCGAGGAAATTGGAATTGAGGCATTAAAGAATCTCAGAGCTGCAATTAAAGAGAAGGAGGAGAAGAAACCAGTCGTCGCGAAGACCGGGGAAGAGAGTGGTGTAGTAAACCTCGAACACGAGGAGAAGAAACCTGCCGTTGAACTAAAGTGCAAAAATACCGACACCTAAGGAAAGCCCAGCGATCGCACCGTTCAGAAACGAGTTCAAAATATCAGGGCAGATTGTAGTCTCCTCCGCAGCCGTTTTTTGGGATTTCAAGCAACGCTCCCCCCAAAGAAACGGCTGCTCACATCCCAACCACATCCTTTTCCTTTTGTGTTTGTGGTTTGTTTGCGCTCCGTTGAACAGACCAATCACATAATAGCAAATTGTGAATGACGTAAGCTTTCGCGCGGAAAGGTCTGCGGTGCGAACACGCGAGGGATTTCTGGCTTTTGTTTCACGCCGCACGTCGCCAAAAATAGGCGGTGTTCGCAGGTTACGATCATGACGGACGAAACAAATTGTAAATGAAAGTCCTAAGTACAAGTGCTTCATGTGCTCATCGCTATGTTCAGCTATAAATGAGACAATATATATGTTCTCGAAATGTCAAATTGTAAGCGTCAATCAAGGGTCAAACGCTTCCTACAGATTGTAATCAGGCCGGAAAGAGCGGCATTCAGAACTCGATGTCAACAAATCGAG